CAGAAACTGGGATCGGGACACAAACCGGGATGGGGACCGAAGCAGGGACAGAAAGCGGGACCGGGACAGAAAGCGGGACCGGGACAGAAAGCGGGACCGCGATCGGAGCACGGCCCGGCCGTCCCGCTGCGCAGCAGGTCAGTGCCCGCGGGATCCAGTCGGGATCGCTCCCGGTTTGGGAGCCGGAGCCACGCGGGGTCCCGGGGCGCGGGTGGGCCCTGGCGGGGGTCCCGTTCCTGGCGGCTGATTCCTGATCTCTACCCGTGCCCGGGGCGCGATGTCTGCCCGTGCTGACCCTGACGTCTCTCCGTGCTCCGTCCCGGTGCCCAGCCATGCCTGAGCCTCAGTTTCCCAAATCCCAGCATCCTTCCCTACCCGGGTCCCGGTGTCCCAGTGCCCGGGTCCCGGTGTCCCAGTGCCCGGGTCCCGGTGTCCCAGCCTCCAGGTCCTGGTGCTTCCCTGGACTCCTCTCACAGTGCTCCTTTTCCTCAGGAAGGAGAAGCAGCACAACATGAAGCCCAAACACCCCGACGAGCAGGAGATCCCGTTCCGCCTGCGGGAGCTCATGCGGAGCCGCGAGGCCCTGAAGCGCCCAGAGCCCGGGAAGAGGCAGGTGGCAGGTGGGACACGCAGGTGGCCCGAGGGGCCCTGGCCTGGGAGCCCATGGCACGGCTGGATCCTGCCGTGGGACATCCTCCTCCCCGCGGTGATGTCCCAGCCGTGCTCTGCCAGCCGCAGGGACCCCCGTGGTGGCACCGCTGCAGAAATGTCCCCTGTCTCTCCTAGAGAAGAAGCAGCAGCAGAAATCCAAGGCCCCCAAGGCCCCTGGGGACATCTCTGTGCCCAAATTCCGGAGGGGCAAGGGGGAGTCGGAGCGTTCCTACATCTGCCGCATGGAGCAGGAGGTGCAGCACGTCCTCTTCCTCACGGAGAACCAGCTCCAGAGGGAGCCTGAGAAGGAGGCGACGGCTCCAGAGAAATCCAAAAGGAAAAAAGAGTGAGAGCAAGGCCACGGGAGCTGGATGGGGCCAGCCTGGCACGCCTGTGGCCTGTCCCCTTGCCCAGTTCTGCAGGGCAGCTCTGGCGTTGGCAGTGGCTGGGGGTGCAGGTGGGGGGCAGTGGGCCCCCTTTCCATGGGAACAGAGCCACAAGCCTGCTTCACCCTCCAGAGGGAAAAGCTGTGGGATCTGAGGGGCTCCCGTGGGCTTGGGACTCATTCCTGAGCCCCAGCCATAGTGTAGCACTTCAGGTTTCAGAAAAGGAAGCTGGAAAAAGCTCGGAAGAAAAAGGAGGAGAAGAAGGAGGATATGCTGGAGAAGAGCCTGTTGCAAGGTGGGGATGGAGTGGGGGGGCTGAAGTGACCCCCAGCCCCGGGGGGCAGCTCATGGAGGGGTGGGGGGAGCAGGACTGGGCATCCCGAGGGTCTCCCGCTGAACCCTGGCTCCGGCTTCACTTGCAGACACGGTGCCCTTCGGAGAAGTGGTGACACAGCCACCCACCATCACCTCACTGCCCAGGGGACGGGGTCCTGCCCAGCAGGTGAGCTCTGGGGACAATGCCACCCACCCCTTGGGTACCTGGGAGGGCAGCAGTGGCCTCAGTGAGCCGGTGACAGCTCCTCAGAGTGCAGTCTCGGTGTCTCATCCTTCCTGCCTGAGCTGTCCCTTCTCTGCCTGCAGGCTGGGTGGAAGCAGCTCCTCCTGACACCTCGCCTGGGCCAGAGCCAGGCGTCCCCCGTGTCCCTGGTGTCCCCGGTGGTGTCGATGGCTCGCCGGCGCATCCTGGAGGAGGAGCGGGTGCGCGTCATCCGGGCCTACAGGGACATCCAGAGGCGCAAACAGCTGGAGCGGGAGCGTGCCCAGGCCGGTCCGGGCTGAGGACCTTGGGACTGGAGAGGGGACATTGTGTCACTGCTGAGCCCTGGGGCTTCCCACAGCTCCACACTCCACGGCTCAGCACCGGAGCGGGGTCCCTGCGGTGCCATGGACACGCTTGGAGTAAAAAGTGCCAGTGGGAGCCGGTGCTGTGAGCGTCTGTGTGCTCCCAATTCCACAGGGATTCCTTAGGGACGCTGCTGTGCTGGCACATGGCAGTGCCAGGCATGTCACTGTCACCACGGGCTGGCCCTGGCAGGGCTCTGGTGGGGACAAGAACCTCGTTCCTCAGCCGTGAGGAGACCCCAGAGCCTGCCAGCTCAGCCTGCTGGGAGGACAGCGCCACAGGGCTCACCCACACGGTGTCACCTGCCTTTATTGTCACTATTGGTGACCCTGCTTGAGCCCCGTGGCTGCAGCCACACACAGCCCTGCCCTTGGCATCGCTGCCCGTGTCCCTGCCCGTCCCTGGTCACGGTGACCCCGGTGCCATGTGCGCCCACCCCACCCCGCGACCCCTCCGGGCAGCCC